GCTCCTGGGGCCTAAACCTCTCTTCATTTTGTACTTATTTCATTTTGTACTTTATCTTGTGCTGATTTAATACTTATTGCTTGCTTTAAGCTTAATATTGCTATTTTGCTATTTGTAATTGTAATTTTTCTGTATGCAATAACAGGCTTCGCTTCCTTAATTTCTGCCTTTCTGATTTATTCTTGCACCTTCCTCATCATGTTGAGTCTCTATGAGACCTCAAGGCGGGCAGAGTATGTTACCGCCGACTCGCAGCTTGGCAGCGTGGCGGTTGGGCGTCGCGGTCATCTCGCTCTTTAGTCCAGGCGCCTGGTAGCTAAAAATGAGGCTACCTGGAATTTTGGGTACACAGCGATTTTTTTGGCTTACTTATTGTTTTTTGGGTCGCTGAATCCGAATCTGAAGTTTCCGCACGCGTATCTGGTGAGCATTTTCCGCTATTTTGAAAAAATGGCCTAAAAAGGCCTTTTTTTGCGGTTTTTTTGATATAGCGGCTACGGATGAGGAAAAGTCCCGGATTTAGCTAATGTTTTGAATAGCTGACATAATTTGGAAGAAAATGGTGTATACATATGTTAGGTTTGCTTAAAAATTGAGGAAGATACAGCATCGTGAACATCGCGCCTATTCACGTTTTCGCGGCGCACCCGTCAACGCGCGATCCGGCTCGCCGCGGTCAGCCAAGTTCCGAAGCGTTCCAAAGTTCCGAGATGCGAGGTTCCGCAATTTTTGAGCAAACCTAGCATATTTATATACCATTTTCTTCCAAATTTTGTCAGCTATTCAAAACATTAGCTAAATCCGGGACTTTTCCTCATCCGTAGCCGCTATATAAAAAAAACCGCAAAAAAAGGCCATTTTTTCAAAATAGCGGAAAATGCTCACCAGATACGCGTGCGGAAACTTCAGATTCGGATTCAGCGACCCAAAAAACATAAAGTAGGCCAAAAAAATCGCTGTGTACCCAAAATTCCAGGTAGACTTACCAGGCGCCTGGACTACTTTGACCGGCCAGCTTCGCCGCGGATCTGACCCGTCTCCTCGGCTGCGCGCGGACCTCCTGATTACGCGTTGTTTACCTACGAGTTGCGGTCACCTACAGTGTTTTTCCTCTGCTTTCCTGTAGTCATTCCAGCTGCATCTTCCGTGGGAATCGCTCATAGGTTAGTATTGACATCACTTTCTCCTCTTTCTATTGGCTTTTGGTGACGTCTTCCTCCTGTTCTCGGGTATATAAAGCCAGCCTGTCTTGAGGCCATCATCTCATTTGATCATCAGCTTCACCGCAGTTCACATCTTCGAACCTTGGTAAGTTCTCAATGCGATCGCTCGGGTTGCTTCGCCTGAGCTAGTCACCTAGAGAGCTCCTCTCCAGGATTGTCCTCTACACCTAGAGAGTTCCTCTCCAGGATTCCTTCTCTTTACCTAGGGAGTTTCTCTCCAGGACTTCTATTTTTCCCCATTGCATTTCGCTCAGGTTGTTTCGCTGGAGCAAGCCCAGGGAGCCATCTCTCCGGGATTTCTCACCGCCTTCGGGCGCCAAGCGCGTTGTCTCTTTGCGCTCCCTTTCGCTCAGGTTGTCTCGCCGGAGCAAGCCCAGGGAGCCATCTCTCCGGGATTTTCACCGTCTTCGGGCGCAAGCTGTTTAGCGCATGCTCCGAGAGACGTGCTTTTTATACCTACACACTACATGCTTCAAACGATGATTTTTTTCTATCCTCCCTAGTTATTTTTTATTTTATTTCATTTTTTTTCGTGGTGGAAACACCCCACTCTTTGTATGTAATATTTGTCCATACCAAAACAGACTCTATCTCTATTCTTCGGTCGGCATCAAATTTTTTACAGTCTGTATGTGGCTCCGACCCATACTTTATGAAGCGTGAGTGCATGCATTTTTTTTCATTTGAGGACAAATTGTTGGACCAATCTTTTACGGAGAGAATTTGAATGGTCCAAATTACCTACGGCTACTGGAGGAAACGATTGTCCCTGGATTACAAGCAAATTGTGAAAATCCCGACGATCAAATGCCATCGGGGTGTTTTTTCAACAGGACGGCGCACCACCGCTCTATGCACTCGCGGTGCGGAACTTTTTGAACGTTGCTTTCGTCGGATATTGGATTGGGCGCCGAGGCGCCATTAAATGGTCACCTAGGTCCCCGGTCTCAATCCAATGGATGTTTTCATTTAGGGACATCTTAAACAAGACCCTTGAACATGGAGGACTTGAAAAATCGGATCATTGCAGAATGTCACAAGTTGACCGCTCAACTGTGAAAGATGTCACAGAGGAAACAAACAATTATTCTTGTGCACCGAATAGGAAGGTCAGCACATTGAACAATTTCTGAGGTGATCATCAAATTTCCTGCTTTAGTTCTATAGTATTTCTTTCTTTCCTGTTTTTCACGAAGAGAGTGATTTTCTTTTCAAAGTCGAATGATTTTCTCTCTCGTTTTAGCAGAGGAAAAATTTTCATGTAACATCAAGTCAGTAAACTAATCAGAAGTTGTGAGAGGAAGCTTTCATTTCCAACAAAGAAGAAGTGTAAACTTTCCGTTTATTCTTCGTAGGTTATCTAAGATAAACTTCGGAAAACTGCCACGCACCGTAGAACAATAGCGTCCTCAGAAGTATCAAGATCCAGCCCGTTAGTTTCACCGTCGATATTTTGTAACTATATAAGTTTCGTAGCTGCGTGACTCTATAACGATTTTAACAGAATTTCATTCCCTGGTCGTTTAGGTGCTCTTAAGATTTTTTCGATATTTTAAAGCAAGTTCCCTCCGTGGTGATGGGCTGGGTGGATCGATTGCCGGGTCCTTGCAGAACGGCCTTACGACAAGAGGAGAAAAAAATAGGACGTATCACTTGCGTCTCGAGATAGGTACCTGTTCCGTTGCATGTCCCCGTCTACATGCGTAAATCATATCGCCAGGGTGTGGTGGTATCGATTCTGGATGCCAGTTCGGCAGAAATATTGCTTCCAAGATTTTGCTTGTAGTTGTATAATATAGATACACGGTATAAATTGAAACACCACGCAACGCGTTCCAACTTCAAAATTTCAAGTATACAACGAATCGCACGACGTGGAATCCAGAAATGAGCAACTGAAGAAGAAATAAGTGCTCACAGTTAACATTATTTTCAGGGCAAAAATATAAATGAGATCATTTGTACCGTTGAACCATCATCTGATTTGACTTAAAAAACTAAAGAGTATCCCGTTCAGCGGTTGTTTTCCGAACCTCTCGTTGTGTACATCATTTTTTACAATTAATTTTGAAGAGAAAATAAGTACCGTTAATTATTTAATGCAGACCATGTTCATTGGTCCATCTCCTGTCTAAAGCGAAACAACCGGATTTTCAAGTGCCCATGAAATGTAAACGACCTGACCCCTCTTGATTTTAGCTAAATAATATACGCTAGCTTCTCTCAAAACCGCGAGAACAAAAATCGGGGAAGAAAATCTATAATCTGACCTAATGTAACCCTAAGCAGCGTAGGAACACGATTAATCTCTGTCCCACTGAAACGGTCGGAAAGGTTGAAAGGCTGCGGCAACATGGCACGGAACGAGAAAGATCCGGGCGAGATCCGGTGGTCTTTGCGCGGGATATTTGAACGGTGCGATTGACCCTGATAATTTTGGGTAGCCGTACCCCCCTAAAAATTGAGTTACAAAATTTATTTTTGGACTTACAAAACGTTACAAAACACTTACGAAACATTGGCGTTGTCAGAATCTATCGATTGTAAAGTGGGGGGGGGGGG